CCCTATCACATGCTTCTCTCCTGAAGAGAGGATGAGAGGGGGAAAAAACCACACCTGCCTGGTGCATAGTCACATTATTTAATGCAATACTGGGAGACTCAGATATTATGGTGATGAGAGCAGTATAAGAACTTATACAATACATAAACAACCAACACTACATAGCTATTCAGTAGATCTCAAAGCACTTTACAAAGAACATCAGTATCACTGAGAATTGGGAAACAAAGTGAAGATACTTCTGTGGAATCAGTTTTATTTACCAGGAGAATATGAACAGATTTGAAAGCACATACACATGGGCCCTGCAGAGATATAATGACATGTCTGAACACTTCTGCCTGTCCCCCCAATTACCACTTATTTATTTGAAACACTGTGTTAAGGAAAAGCACTAAAGTATCAGTGGGTCCAATGCCATGTTCTCAAATTCCTTGGGCATCGGTTTGGATAGAACCTAGTAGGTAAGTTTTAGTCTTTATCTAGCCTCTTCTTAACTCAAGTAAAGATTTCCTGACACTACATTTCCAAAAAAAGGTGGTTGGAGAGGCACCAGTCTCTAATACCTCTGACAATCTGACAGCACTTTCTGTTAGTTTCTGGCTGTGAATTAGCATCATACCCATGGCATTGGGAGAGTAAAATAGCCTTTTTAGTCTACTGCAGAATTAAAATACTAAAATACTAAAAATAACAACATGCAAAACACTCTTAAAATTGCTCTTTGACCTGTAGAGGCCGCAGGGATCATTGTTCACATGCTCACGACACTGAATAATTGCACTGAGTCAACACCAAACCCACAGTGCATCTCTGTCTCTCTCTCCAGAGAAACAAACATGAGTTCAACATGAAAAGGGTGCGAGTGAAATCCCATCCTGTACTGTGTATCATGAGGATTTCACAGAGGCATCGGCAGCTGAAGGTCCACACGTGGAGCAGCAGAGCACAGGCGCTCTGTTGGTTCATTTAAGGAAGTCTTAATTGCACATTCATAGTTGTCCCAAAACTGCCAATCATTCCCAGGCACATTTGTGGCTTTTTATAACATAGCCTTTTTGGTCTACTGCAGAATTAGCCTCCTCTGCAATGAAGGAGAAGTACATGGAAGTCAGTGGAGTTACTCTGTATTTATACTACTGGAACCAAGAGCAGAACTTGGTCCTTAACAGCGTCTTACGCTTCTATAGTGACTTTCATCCTGCAGGATGCCAAAGATGCCACAGTGACTGGCACAGTACAAACCCTTAGACAGACAAATTTAAGGCCTGATTGCCCTCTCACTTACTCCACTGAGAACCATGAGTGGCTTCAGGGAAGCCAGAGAAGTTACAGAAGAATCCAGTACTTGCTGTTTAAAGTGTAGGTAAATTCTCTTTAAGGGGAGCTGCTGATGGATCAAGCCCCACGTCAGTAAATTAGCCAAACCACCTTCCTACGGTGCTTAGTCCTTCCAGAATCACCGAATCAAACATCCCAACCTTCATGCAACTTACCCACCCTCCTCGAGTCCCCCAACAAGTGCCTCAGTCCCACTGCTGAACCATCCCACAATGTCTCCCTGGCAGTGTAATCGCTATTTTCTATGCAATCCCAACACTTGGAGAACACATGGCCATGGCTATATAACAGCAGCAGATTTTCTCAACCGTGCATTCCAAGAAAGTTCGATTTCCAGGGGCAGATGTGGCAAATAATTTCTCCCTGCACTCAAGTCACGGTGACATTGGCACTGCTGGCAGGTCTCCCCAGGGCTTATGGGAATACTGCAGATGGGGCAATGGAGTGGCCAGTGCATTAACATGCTGCTAGCTGCCTCCACTCCAGCTTCCTGCTGCTAAATCAAACCACTGGGGTCTTTCCAACTTGGACTCAGATTGTCCCCACAAACATACTGACACCACACACAGGGAGGAGATTCTAATTAAAAGTGCCACTATCAGGACAGCTGGATCGGGAACCACAAAACAAGACATGGGTCAGGTGAGGGGTGTGTCTGAGGGAGGAATTCAGGAAGCTTGGAATGGGAGGATCAAGCATAAGTTAGGGCATAGGTCAGGCAGATCATAAGTGCGAGGGCAGAGAGGACACCGGCAGTGGGCATCCCAGCTGGCAGTGTTTGGTCTGCTGCAAAGGAGGAATCTGCAGTGAGTTGGCCCATGACTCTACTTATTGTCAATACTTAAGGACTAAGATGTTAAATAGCCCCCAGGTCATTGCAATGTGCCCTCCATCCCTTCCTAATCTCAGTCATTCTAGTGTGATGAAGAAATGAATCACCTTTGCACTCAGGGACAGGTGCATCCCAGCGTGGAGTTCCCCCATCACCAGCTATACAGCGAATGGTGGATACTCCAATAAGTGACCAACCACGGTCACATTCGTAGGTCACACTTGAGCCAACAAGGAAAACATTTTTCCAGGCGCGGTCATCCCGTCCATTAGAGATACGTGCAGGTGGCTCGCAGGCTAGAATAAAAGGGGAAAATACAGCATTGATACAGAACAGGAAATCTCCTAAAAGAAGGGAGACAGCATAAATACCGTGGGGTTTCCTGACACTACATTTCCAAAAAAAGGTGGTTGGAGAGGCACCAGTCTCTAATACCTCTGACAATCTGACAGCACTGTGTTAGTTTCTGGCTGTGAGTTAGCATCATACCCATGGCATTGGGAGAGCAAAGATAAAAATAACAACATGCAAAACACTCTTAAAATGGCTCTTTGACCTGTAGAGGCCCCAAGGATCGTTGTTCACATGCTCACGACACTGAATAATTGCACTGAGTCAACACCAAACCCACAGTGCATCTCTCTCTCTCCGGAGAAACAAACATCATGAGTTCAACAAGAAAAAGGTGCGAGTGAAATCCCATCCAGTACTGTGTATCATGGGCATTTCACAGAGGCATCGGCAGCTGAAGGTCCACACATGGAGCAGCAGAGCACATGCGCTCTGTTGGTTCATTTAAGGAAGTCTTATTGGCAGTTTTGGGACAACAATGAATGTGCAATTCACTCCCAGGCACACTTGTGGCCTTTTTTAAAATAGCCTCTTTGGTCTATGCAATCTCAACACTGAGAACACATGGCCATGGCTATATAACAGCCAACAAGTGCCTCAGTCCCACTGCTGAACTATCCCACAACGTCTCTGTCATAACCACCTTCCTGTATACAGTACTATAAAATCCCTCCTGGTCAGAGGCACAAAATCTTTTTACCTGTAAAGGGTTAAGAAGCTCAGGTAACCTAGCTGGCACCTGACCAAATGGACCAATAAGGGGACAAGATACTTTCTAATCTGGGGAGGGGGAAAAGGCTTTGTTTTGTCTGATCTTGGTCTGTCTGTTCTGTGTGCTTGCCGGAGACAGATCAAGAAGGCAAGCAATCCAACTAAATTAGAATTAGTAAGTAATAATAAGGGAATGCGTTAGTTTGTGATTTTCCTTATCTAGAGGGAGGTTTTGTCTAGAGGGAGGTTTATCCCTGGATTTGTAACTTTAAGGTTTTGCCTAGAGGGGAGATCCTCTATGTTCCTGACTTTTGTTATTCTGTAAATTACTTACCATCCGGATTTTACAGAGGTAATTCTTCTCCCTTTTCTTTAATTAAAATTCTTCTTTAAGAACCTGATTGTTTTTTCATATTTTAAGATCCAAGGGTTTGGATCTGTGCTCACCTGTACCAATTTGTGAGGATATTATTCTCAAGCCTCTCCAGGAAAGGGGGCGTAGGGGTTTGAGGGGATATTTGGGGAAGATAGGGCTCAGGAAAAAGATCTTGGAGTCATCATGGATAGTTCTCTGAAGATGTCCATGCAGTGTGCAGAGGCGGTCAATAAAGCAAACAGGATGTTAGGAATCATTAAAAAGGGGATAGAGAATAAGACGGAGAATATATTATTGCCCTTATATAAATCTAGGATATGCCCACATCTTGAATACTGCATAG